GCGCCACACCACCCTTGATTCCCCGAAATATTCACTGGGGATTTTATCACAGATCCAAGGTGCCATCATGGCGTCCTCGGTGTTCCAAATAGTCATCGGATTCTCGGGTGTGATTGGCTTTATGATGAGGTACATTGGACCAATCACAGTGGCTCCCACTGTCACGCTCATTGGTATTGCTTTGTTCCACRTTGCTGCAGAACATGCAGGTATTTTCTGATTGTAATAAACCTAATCCATTGTTTTCCCATTTTAGACCACGTGTCRTTCCCTAGAGTATAATTTCTTTGTTTAACGATTGCGCGCATGAGAAGACGCATGTCAATGGATACAACTCAAGAGAATTACACATGGTCTAAAATGAACCAAAGATGAAAGTTCTGTAGACCCCTTGCATGTGACGTCAAAGCAGTTCAATTTGGAGAACAAAACGAAAGAATTTCAATCTCATGAGAATGAGAAACCTATTGTTATGTCCTCCAAATTGAGATGCATTCCTACGTGCTACAAAGGGTTTATATTGCTGGGTTTAACTTGACGACAGTTCTTTTCTCGTGTAGTAAATGCCAATAACCAAGTCACCATCAATGAATAATAAAAATATGGTTAGCAAATATTTTATTTTATACTTTTTCATTTCAGGAAATCACTGGGGGATTTCAATGATGTAAGTAATTTGAAAGCTTCTAATATAGCGTATAGTTTGGGTAACATAGGATCGAGCATAGGCTAAACAATATCACTCTCTCGATTCCTCTTTTGCATGTTACGTCATAGCGGCCATCTTGATGGTATAACTGTTCCAAGGTCGAGGAAAATGTAGGACTGTTTTAGGAGACTCATATCCAAGATGGCGTGTATTTCGTCCCCTAAAAAAGTCCCACAATGCACTGTATTGCCAACTCGACCCAGTACATTCCTCAACCTCAGAATGGCTAATTGAACTAAGCATCTCAATCTTATAAACTTCCTTTGTTTATACCACCAAAATGGCCGCCATTTGGTAATGGTAATGTTTGCAAACAATAGAGGCTTTGCACTATCACGTGCAAAATGTTCTGTTGTTGTGCCTCAAGTCATGACCGCCACTTTATTGTTTGTTCCTCCTGTCATGGCTGCGATCACGTGATACTTGCAAAGCCTCTATAGATCTCTTTATCTTGGGCGTAATGTTTGCAGACCACGTGTTGTTCTCTCGAGAATAAGATTCTTTGTTTGATTCGTATCCATATCTATCTATAATATCAAAATAATTGCAGGTTCTGTACTTTTGTAGACTATGTAAAAAACAGTTTTGCGTTATGTATGCCACACTACTTGTGAATTTGATCTTGCGCCATGACTCAACAACATTAAATATCCCAAGTGTTCTCAGTCAGAATCACCGATTAATTTTTTTATCTCTTCACCATCTTGTGCTATTATATTACTTACTGGGGTGAATGTTTATTTTCGTTGTCAGAATATGCAGAAATTGCGCAATAGTACCCAGAAGTCTTCACGGAATCACCCACAAGTCTTTTGCGGCATATGAAATAAATCGGAATAAATCGTTTTATCACTTAAAAGATTGCATTAGCTTTTTGTTGAAGATTTAAATCTAATAAAAAATGGATTAAAAAAAGGAAAATCTTATGTAAAAGATGGGATTCGAACCAAAAGAAATTTTAAAAAATCGACTCCACTTTGCCATACCCCCGAGACATCCGCAGAGCTGAGGCGGCGTATGGACTTCGGACCTGACGGCGATTAAATCCTTCTGCCCTTGGGTGTACGAATTACGCAAGAAAATGTTCTAACCGAAGCATCAGGGGAGAGACCAGCCGGCCCCCAGACCATATCGGCTAATCCCTTGCATCTCTGCCACGCACGGAATCGGTTGAAAATATATTGTTAAAAAGTCTAGTCTATTCGGTGCATTGTTTTCACGGCTATTGTTATGCTGATTCACCTGGAACCGTGGTCCAGTGGATAAATCGTTGTCGTTCAAGATACTGAGTCAAGCTCGTTTGAGGAGGGTTAGCACTTGGATGGGTGACCTAAACATTATACCTACTCACGTTTTTGCTCCTTTTTTGAGTTTTTCTTTTTTGATTTTTAAAATAATAAAACTATAATAGTGAAGCTTTTCTATTTTTGAGTAGCCTATTCCTATCTACACAAATCCGTCAAATTGAAATCAGACAGACAGACAGCCAGTCAAGAATTTCAAAACACTAAATGGCCGGCAGTTCCATTTATTTTTAAAAATCTCAAGTAAAGATCTGGCAAGTAAAATAACTTAAAACACAGCGAAGTCAATCTACCACGGGGAATTGAAAGTAGCCAACTTTATTAATTAAGAATTTGTTCACTCACGGGAAGATTTGAAGCCTTATTTTTCTTTATGTATAGAATACTGCGTTGAGAAGAATTTTAAATTTTGAGCAGACAAATAAAAGAAATATATTTTTTCACGGCATCTCCAACTTTCTTGGTCGGTTTATACACACGAGTAATTCCTAACCTTGCCCTGAGCCTTGAATTTCAGCAACTAACGAAAAAAGAAAATGCGTAGACATTAATTTCCGACACGTGATTTGCAAGCCCCATCCCCAATCAATCACTTTGATAAATCAGACATTGATTGGCACTTGAATATAAATCAGACTTTTCAAAGGGATCTCTGTATCATATGTCCGYAAAGGACTCTTGGGTAGTGCCGTGAAGACCCCTGGGTACTATTGCAATTTTGGCATTTTCTGACGCTGGAAAATATGGAGACACTCAACGCATTTTTAGACTGGGCATTCCACAGGCAACCCAATAAGAAATGGTACTCAAAGAAATGACACGTGGTCTGAAATAGGAAAATATCGCATCCTGGGCCCGGTTGTACTTTATGTATTAATTTATTTAAGGCAATATTTATACAGTATTTATCCGACGGATAAATCTTATCCAGTGGATAAATTTATTGGAAAAAAACTGGATAAGGATTTATCCGCCAAATAGCGCTAAACAAGCTTCGTACAACCGGGCCCAGGCTAAAGGGATGTTTGAGCTTTTTTTATAAAACATTAGCGAATTTTGTATTTGGTTTTCAGGACTGTGGCGCTAATCATCCTTTTCTCGCAAATTTTGTGCAATGTTTTGGTGCCTCTGCCGTCTTACCAGAAAAACATTGGATTTTGCATCAAAAGACAGCCAATATTCAAGCTGTTCCCTGTAAGTATTACTAACTTGTTACAATATCTTTCCAAGTTGCTTTATCTCTGCCGTGATGTCAACCGCCAGAGGCTGCTGTTTCTATTCATTGCTAGGTTTCAATCAGCTGATAAAAGTCTTTGAATCTCATTATCTGCTCCAAATGGTGGTCAAACACTGACCACCATGTGCTCTCAGCCAGAAAGAATTCTATTGAAAACTTGCGTATCAGTTGATGAACATTCTGGACAAGACAGGAAATTACGTCTATTCAGTGAAATTAAGCAATAGACCACGTGTCATATATTGTCTTGAGAATAAGATTCTTTTTTTTTAATTGTATCCATATCCATGTGTCTTCTCAAATGCAACCGTTAAACAAAAAAATGACTCTCTAGGGAATGACACATGGTTTAAAATGGGAAAACATTACGCCATAGCTAAAAGATTAATTGGCAGAAAACCTGGCAGAAAACCAATTCATCTGTTTCAATAGACCTATCCTGAATTCGCTTGACTGGTCACGAAACAATGGTTTCAAGTCGAGGTTGAACTTGATGAATAAAAAAATTCAGGTTCACCTCGACTTCAAACCATCGTTTCGTGGTCAGTCAAGCGAATTCGGGATAGGTCTATTTATCTGTTAGTCTGTTTGTTTGTTTATTCATGCATGATCATAGAACGAAGACACGCATTTCTGCGATTTTCCATATTCTTCGAACTCCCCCGACATTTCAACGGCTTTTTGTGCAATTGTTTTTTTCACTTCCACCAGCCAAGAAGATAAAAGGTACCGACTGATTATTATTGATTGATGGCAGCGAGCAATTAATCAAATTTCTGTGTGCAGCTCGTATCTACCGAGTTCGCAGAATAGTTCAGTTTCGAGTTCCAAATTACCGCTGTGTTTCTTGATTACAGGCTCATTTACTCAGGCTTAGCCTCGAATCAGTGTCTAAATATTCACAAGTACCAACGGTAAAGTAAAGAATGCACAATTTCAACAATACGAACATGGAAACAAGTGAATATTCTTCACAAAATCGAGGCTAACTCTGTAAATGAGTCTGTAATCAAGAAATACAGCGGTAATTTGGAACTCGAAAAGGGTCTATTAGGCCGAAAACCGAGTGGGTAACTCAATAACTATGTGATTACAGATAATTCTTGCCATCGTGGTGTCTTGGTGTTTCTGTGCAATCATTACAGCAGCAGGAGGGTTTYCTTCAGACCCAAATCATCCAAACTACAAAGCAAGAACTGATGCCAGAACGATCGTTCTTCGAGAAGCAAAGTGGTTTAGACTCCCCTACCCTGGTATGTCTGTCTGTCTGTCTGTCTATCCGTCCATTTGTCTGTCTGACTGTCTGTCTATCTATCTTCTCCCTTCCTCTATTGGGCAATATATAGACCATTTTCGAATTTGTACAATACCGGTACTGAAACGAAGAAGGTCTACATATTCCTTCCTTCCTTCCTTCCTTCCTTCCTTCCTTCCTTCCTTTCATTCCCTACTAACAACCCATGGCATCGTCTCGTTCATAACAGGTCAGTGGGGTACCCCAACAGTTAGTGCCGCAGGGGTCTTCGGGATGTTAGCAGGTGTTTTAGCGTCAATCATTGAGTCTGTCGGTGATTACTACGCCTGTGCACGACTTTCTGGCGCGCCGCCTCCACCCAAACATGCCATCAACCGTGGTATCGGCATGGAGGGTGTCGGGTGTTTGTTGACTGGGGTCTTTGGTACCGGTACTGGAACCACGTCTTACAGCGAGAATATAGGAGCTGTTGGAATAACAAAGGTAACCCAAAACCTGGTTTATGAAAATCATCCAAGTGGTTCTTCTTTCATTTAATCCAACTGAATCGAATTCAGGGGTGCTTACCATTTAAACCAATTCATCCGGTTTGGAAATTCATTCGCTCATGGTAAGAAGAGGGCGGGAGGCATTCGGGAAGAATGGGAAAAGTAGATTACCTCAATCGAAGAACCGAGTTTTTTGGAACTTTCCGATTGGAATGACACCTACCATTTGTTTTCCAACCGAAATTTCCGGTTTTTTCCAGGTAAATGGTAAGCAACACTGGTCTTTTGAATTTTGCGGAGGGAGGATCGAAATCCAGAAACTTAACATTCTAAAATCAACAAGCCTAGTATAAAAAAAAAATATTGAATTAATGGGGTTCGATTCCTGGACTCAGTATCACATGTGGTAAAGTTTGTCTCTCCCATGATTCGAGAGTTTTTTCTTCGGGTTCTCCGGTTTTCCTCCCTCCGCAAAACATAACACGCTAAATTTCAATTTGATCTGTAAGTTAGCCATTCCCAGACTTAGATCAGCCCAGAGGTTGTTTCAGGGTTCTATCTGTGAGTTAGCCATTCCCAGACTTAGATCAGCCCAGAGGTTGTTTCAGGGTTCAATCTGTAAGTTAGCCATTCCCAGACTTAGATCAGCCCAGAGGTTGTTTCAGGGTTCAATCTGTGAGTTAGACATGCCCTGACTTAGATCAGCCCAGAGGATGTTTCAGGGTTCAATCTGTGAGTTAGCCATGCCCTAAAACTTAGATCAGCTCAGGGGTTGTTCCAGAGTTGATCTGTGAGTTAGCCGTGCCCTGACTGTTTTTTTTACGCTCCACGAAGGTCGGTAGCCTACGCGTGATCCAGTATGGGGGTCTAGTCATGTTGGTGGTTGGTGCTGTTGGTAAGATAGGCGCTCTCTTTACAACCATTCCTGATCCAATCGTTGGAGGACTCTTCTTGGCCATGTTCGGGATGATCGCTTGTGTGGGGATCTCGAACCTTCAGTACGTCGATATGAATTCATCCAGGAACATCTTCATCGTTGGACTCGCACTAATAATGGGATTAGCTCTTTCTCACTACATGAATGGACACCCTGGTGCCATCAATACAGGTCAGTAATTGAAGACGTTTTTAAAAATGATGATGCTGATGCTGATGATGCTGATGCTGCTGCTGCTGATGCTGATGCTGATG